AGTGGGAGCGCTGCCGCCGACCTTCGGCCTCCGCCTCCTCGCCGCCTCAGCCACCGCCCTCCCCATGATGCCGCCAGATCCGCGAGGGGAGGGGAGCGCCGCCGACGACCGCCGGCCTCCGCTGCTGCATGCAGCCGCCGTCGCCGTCCTCCCCCACGATGCTTCTGGATCCGGGATGGGAGGGCCGCCAGCCGGATCTGGAAGGTGGGAGCGCCGCCGCTGACCTCCGTCCTCCTCCGCCACCGACCTCCCTCCTCCGTCGTCCGCCCCGCGCCGCCGGCCACCACCGGCCTCCCCCCTCCCCCCTTTGGCAGGATCTGGGAGGGAGGGGAGGCGAGCCACACCGGGGGTGCACCGTCCCCGCCTCGCCATCGCGGATCCCACCGCCCACATGCGTTGCCGTCGCCGGTTCCCGCCGCCCCCGCCGCTAAACGCCCGTGAGGAGAGGAGAGGAAAGGAGGAGAGGTGAGGCCGGCTAAGGGAGAGGAGAGTGAGGACTTAGAAAAAATCTAAGTGATGAGTGGTCCATTTATACTCCACACCTATTTTCGCAGGCAGACCACATAAGAGGTCCGCCTGCAAAAATAAATGGTATTTTTGCAGGCGGACCGCTTAAGGGTCCGCTTGCAAAAATAGATTTTCGTAGGCAGACAACGAGCTTCACCCCAGTTTATATTTTTGAGGCGGTCATTTTACTCCGAGGGTCATGTTCGCCTGTGAAAATAAAACCCTCACGTCTGTGAAAATGCTTTTTCTAGTTGTGTTAAAAAGAAGAGCACAGCACGAAAATATGTAAACCACACTAAACTCATCCCTAGGCTCGAAAATAAAATCGGTTGTGCCCCTGCGTCGGAGAGGTTCGTTTGGTCCCAAATCAAGTGGCCATGGACAGACGACCAATTGTTACTTAACTCGCTAGCTACTAGTCCGTCAATGGGTCTCGTGATGATGATTGACCATAGATGCACATCCATGTAGCCATGTGTGACATTCTGGTTCAATTAGCATATGACATTTGTTGCTTATAGATGTTATGTGTGTATGTTTAATAACACAATGCTAATTCAGTAAGGATGGAATCAACTTATATAAGTGGTTGTCTCTCTAGCACTATATCTCTGGGGTTAACCCTTTAATCTAAAGTGAAAATATAAGTGTAAATGGGGTATTATATGTGTAAGTGGGGGTGCCTGTCAAATAGAGTGGAGTGCGCAATTTTGGAGGCTTGGGTGTTACACCACGCGAGTGACTTAATTTCGCTCGCCTTTGCTCTTGTTTCTGTATGCACATTTGGACCGGAATCGCCGGATGCATACTTGCAATGCACACACGGACACACCTACGCGTACAGACACAACAAACTCTCGCACATCATGTATATACGCGTTCTCGATTATCTGTTTCTTATACACTGTAGAGCAAACAAACTTCCCCCAAGCTGTATATGGGACAATTCATGCGAAACTAGTGTATATAGACGCGCATTCGCGCAACATTAACCCCCTCTATATTGAGCTCCTTTACATGTTTTTAGGATTCATTTGTTCTTTTTCTTCAAATAATCAAATTGTAATTAAATCATTAGAGTATATTTATAAATTAAATAGTTTTTATTAAATGACTTGAGTGTTCATTTACAATATTACTTATTGTTCGTGAAGTGAGCATAGCTTAATCGTTAGGTTCTAGAACCTACACTCATATTCAAGTTCTAGTACTAAGATTTAGTACTGATACTCGTATTTATGGCCAATTATTCTTTCAGCGATAGTGGATGTACCCATTTGCATTGTGTTTCTTAAATAAAATCTTATTTATTGATTAATACTATTATTAATAAATACATGGACTCCAACATAACATGTGCAGTGGCTAATAAATTGTACATAATTAAAAAAATATTGGGAACATATTGAATTTATCATCTTATATATAATTTTTTTGAATGTTTTAGAGAATAAAATCATTAGGAGGTCTACTTAGAATGTAAAAATATTTATTTTATTCTGATATGTAATGAATGAACTATATTAGCACGACAACAAACTTTTATTGCAATTTTATCCAAACCTTATATTAATATGTAAAACGAAGTTTACATAATTTTATTAATATTTGTTATCATCTTTGTCGTAGCATAAGTCGTTGCCTTCTCGCCATCTATGCTACAGCATTACCCTTATCCTTCACTTATTTTTCATTAGTGCACAAGTATTATAGCATGTATACATTTATTTTTTGCGGGTTTATTATGTATATTTATATTTGAATCGTACAAACCTAATGATTCATTATGAACGATCTGGCATTTAGCTGCCTGTTTGTAATAGTAATAATTTTTTCGTTGATATAACCAAGTCTCTGCCGTGTATTTTTCCCTCCTTTTATTTGCTCTTTATTATGTCCCATGTGTGAGGAAGCCAGGGAGGTTCTGGTGTTGTATTGGTATGCTGGAAAGCTCGAGAGAACGCCCTATCACTATCAGGTTCCTTTACTGATATGATCCTACGGCTCTCTTTAATTTTTTCATCATCGGATGGCCTGGGATTTTTGGCTTACGTGGACGTATCAGGTGATCCTTTTGGATTTAGTAACATTTTAACCTTCACTTATAGAGATTTCCACCTTAGATCTAACTACTTTCTACATTCGGTTTTCTTTTTAACTCTTTTTTTAGGTGGACAACCATAGCCAACAGCTATCTTGTCAAGCAGCCATTAATCCTCTCCTACTTGTGCAGTTGTGCGTGCTGTGCCTGCCTGAAACATGTCGATTACGGCCCAATTAAGATATTGTTAGCTATCTGGGCTTTCGAGCTGGAATAACGAACTACGTGGGCTTCAGTTTGCCCTCTTGCTCGACAGCACGTATAAAGCCCAAATTAAAAAAAAAAAGAGAGTACCTATACATCTTTCGAAAGATTTTTATGATCGTATCACACAGATTTTTAATCTTTGGATTAAAATCTGATAGATATAATAAAAAGCAAAAAGCAATTAAGAAACATCATAATGGACACTAAATTACCATATCCTCAAGAAAAAGACCAAATCCAATACAAAATTTAAAATTTACATGCGAAGATTCAAAAATTACAGTGTAACTTACAAAAGTTACAGTGTAAGTTTCATAAATTACACTGTAACTTACAAGAAAATGCACTGTAAATTTGAGTGAGAAAATCGAGTGAGAGATAAAAAAAATCTTTCGATTGAGATATAGCAAAATCGAAAAAAAAATACTACGGCCCATAATGTGTCGTTTGATATTCTTGATTAAATCTACTCTTTTGATATGCTCAATTAGTACTACTACAGTATTACTATAAAACCTGCATGCTAATAACTTTCTAGCATCCCTGCAAAATATTAATTCTAGCAGACAACACTCAATGCATGTCTGACAGTGTAGCACGCAGGGAGATTACAAGATTAGTCCCTGCATGATGCCAAAGGTGATCATCATACGTCTTCATTGGCAACAACAAATAGGGACGTGCTAACCACCTATTTCTATGGCGTTTCTTTGTTTTTTTGTTTCAGTTGCAGCGCAAGCTGTTTTTGATGTGTCCTCTGAACCTACCTCACCAACCATGGTGATCATCTTCTCCAAAGCTGCAGCAGCAGAGCAGAGAACATTCATGCCATGTTGAACTGTAAATTTACTCTTGGGAATTAGTTGCAGACTGCAAACAAATTTGCATCACAAAAGAGTCGGGTCGGGTGTTGATTCGCCATTGCTATTAGTCATTCTACTCGTGCCTACTGCTTACTTTCTCGATCGATGGAATCGGTGATTCATTTGGTTGGGCGTTGTTAGTACAAAATTGAATTAACGAATATCAAATCAAATAATGAAAATGGAGGGAGTAACTAGTGGTAGTAATTTATTCGAATGTATGGAAGATGCACACATAATTGCGAGTGGCCCTTTTACTCGTATCTTAGTGGGTTAATTACTCACAAAACAACAAGTCTATTACATTATCCATCCCTGATTTCTTCGTAAAAATAGAAAAAAAAATCTGTCCTTGGTTGGATTGTTGCTGCTACATGCATGCATGGTCCTTTGACAACTTGTCATATGACAGATGCAGAGTCTTACTCCAAGCAGATGAAAATGGAATGAACTCCTCAACATAAAATTGACAACTTTCAAATCAGCCCAGAGAGATCAGATATCGTCAAACGGATAGAATCATAGAAGTGCATTTTACCTAAAAAAGTTGATGTTTTCCACCTTTTTTTCTTTTCAATATTAGTATGATTGTACTGGTACTGGCTGTTTGCTTGGAGTTTGGACTTGCATTTGTACAATTAAATTCCACCGGCAACTTACAAAGGACAGAAGAAACCTCGACCGACACCCAGAGAAATGAACAAATTCATGGGCCCAACATAATTATTCTAAAGTTCGTGGATACTTAGCTTCTCATCGTCTGATTATTAATTTATCAGTATCAACCAAAAAAAATAAATTTAGAGGTTATTTTGAGGTTTCATCGTAATTTATTTTTCAGCACTATAACTTTTAAAACACTAAGCTTTGTTATAAATTATTTTTTATTTTGCTTCGCTCCTAGAGCAACCAGCTTATTGGCAGATAAGTCACGAATTTGGAAATTATTCAAAAATTTTAGACGATAAAAAACCGCAAACATGGTGTTTCTGGGAGTAAACAGCATGGTGTTTTGCTCCGTACTTCTCCACTTGTCAGTGAGTACTTCCTTCAGTTCCAAATTCTTGATGTCTTGAAAAAAAAATCAACAAGTACACTACACTGTCTCACTGACAGGTGTGCCCAGGAGGACACTCTAATTAAACAGCACCAAATCATTTGAACGGCCATTTATTTTTCCAGCTCGCTATAGTACACTCCTATAAACCCAGGTAACCCAGCTACTAATCCCTGACAAGGTGGCCCCACTCTCTACCACCTCAGTGGGCCCTCACTCCTCTACCCTCCTCCTCATCGTCTCGACTCCAACGAATCTTGAGCCCTTTCGCCCTCTCTCTCTCTCTCGCCTCCGCCCTCCTCGCCTTTCTCCCCCACCTCCACCTCCTCCGCTCCCGAGGCGAGATCTCGCCGCCGCCGCCATTCCCCAATCCGCCCCAAAACCCCCACCCCCCAAACCCTCCGATCGATCCGAGGGAGGAGCCAATCCCGCGCTCGAATTCGTTCGCCCCGAATCAGCCGCTGGATGCGTCGAGCTCGAGGCGGCGGAATTCAAATCTGAGCTCGCCGTTGGCGCGGATCCGACGGGGATGGCGACGGCGGTGTCGAAGTCGGCGGCTAAGCCGCACCCCAGGTCGCCCACCACCGCGCAGCCGCCGAACAACGGCTCCGCGGCGGGGGCGGCGGCGGGGGGCGGGGGCGGTGGAGTGGGTATGGGGCCCGCGGGGGCGACGCCGTCGAAGAACGCGGCGATGGCGGAGCTCAAGTCGAGGGTGCTCGGGGCGCTCGCGAAGCTCTCCGACAGGGACACGCACCACATCGCCGTCGAGGACCTCGACCGCATCATCCGCTCGCTGCCGTCGCCCGACGCCGTGCCCATGCTGGTGCACGCGCTGGCGTCGGACTCGCCGGGCCTCGCGTCCCCCGCGCGGCGGGAGTCGCTGCGCCTCCTCGCCACGCTCTGCGCGGCGCACCCCGACGCCGCCGCGCCCTACCTGCAGAAGGTGATGGCGCACCTCGCGCGGAGGCTCAAGGACACCAACTCGGACTCCTCCGTGCGCGACGCGTGCCGCGATGCCGCCGGCCAGCTCTCGGAGGTGTACCTCCGACCCCTGGCGGCCTCGGCTGCCGCTGAAGCGGGCAATGCGACTGTCACACTGTTCGTGAAGCCACTGTTTGAGGCGATGGGGGAGCAGAGCAAGGCAGTGCAGGGTGGGGCGGCGGCCTGCCTGGCAAAGACGGTGGAGGGCGCGGGGCCTGGACCTGGCGTGGTAGGGATGTTTGGGAAGATTGGTCCGAGGGTTTGCAAATTGCTTGGTGGACAGGGAGTACAGGCTAAAGGGGCACTTCTCACCATCATCGGGAGCTTGTCTCAGGTTGGGATTGCGCGATATTTTTCTTTATGCATGCAATATGTTCGATGAATTGACTTGACAGATGCCAGGTGGTAGAAATTTGTGGTAGACATTACTAAATTGATTATTTTTCATGGACATTTAGTTTTCTGTCTGAATATGGGAAATGTTATCATAAATTGTGGCCAAGGGGTAGGAATTGTTTTTGTGATAAGTGATGTTTGGTGCTGCCGCTGCGGTCGAATGTAGTTCATCATGTAATCAGTTTTGGATGTTGCCTATATGTCTTGCTGACAACTATATGGTTGGAAATTGTTCGTGTTGTGAAGAATGGTGAGTTATCATTGAGACAAGGGTTTGATATTTTCAATCATTATTACAATGTGCCATTTTGTTTTGCACCTCTGAATTTATGGATGGTTAGGACTTAGGAGTTTAGTATTTGATATCCTACCATTGGGTACATAAGACTGTTGTTACTTTTGTGTGGTGTTTGGCCCCATGAACAATGGATAGTACCACAGCATTGTGATTTAATGTTTAGATAAGCGAATAATTAACCTTTTGCTTTGCCTCTGGTAGCCTTTTATTCTTTTTAGTACTTCAGTTGAAACATTGAACTGAAACATACATTGATGCTCTAAGCGAATGTGTCTCCTAACACATGCTTTGAATGGTACTATTGGGAATACTGTGCCAAGCATTACTGTGCGATACATATCTTATAAATCTCTGCAATGACATAACATCAGATTCACTAGCTCTCCTTGTTTGAATAATTGTTGATATATTTCTTGTCAGGTTGGAGCAATCAGTCCTCAGAATATGCCTCAAACATTGCAAAGCATTCGTGACTGTCTCGAGAACAGTGATTGGGCTACTAGAAAAGCTGCAGCTGATACATTGTGTGTCCTGGCCACATATTCAGGCCGATTGATAGGTGATGGAACAGCTCCAACAATAGCTGCTCTTGAAGCTTGTCGCTTCGATAAGGTAACTAAAACTTTAACTCACTCAACCCAAACTGAAGGATCTGTTGCTCTTCCATGGATCCTTTTCAGATGATGACAAGTCATTGTTACATGCATTATGTTGCATTAAGTTGTTCTTGTCAATCCTTTTCAGGTAAAACCTGTCAGAGATAGCATGGCTGATGCAGTGCAGCTATGGAAAAAAATGGCAGGAGATGATTCGAACGGTATCAATTTGTTTTTTAGTTTAAAAGTGCATGATGTTATTTAGGATTTTATTACTCTATGCTTATTGCAACATAATTTCATTCAACAGATGGTAAAAATAAGGAATCAGCTGATAATGAAGGGAAAATGGATTCACCTAATAACAATGACAAAGTGAAGGGCAGTAGCATGGCTGAAAAAGCAGCAGTTCTCTTAAAGAAAAGACCTACATTAACCGATAGGGAATTGAACCCTGAATTTTTTCAAAAGCTCGAGACAAGAATCACAGATGAATTAGCTGTTGAGGTGGTTGTACCCCGCAAAACTTTACAATCTCATTTACAAAGTGAAGAGGAACCAGAAGATGCAGATGGCGATCCTGTTGGTCCAGCTAACAGCAATGGATCAGCAGATGATGAAGCAAATTTGACTCAACTGCGTTCTAGCTCTAATTTTCAAAATATTCGAGATAGATGGGCTGGCCAGAGAGGAAGTAGAAACAAAGATGCAAAGGTTAGGGCATCTGATGTTGAAGATAGGAATGAATCTAGTGCAAAAGATTCTGCTTCAGCAGCAATGAATGTTCCTGGAGAAGGGCCTTCCTTAAATAATAAAACAAACTGGTTGGCGATACAGAGGCAGTTGTCCCACTTGGATAGACAGCAGACTAGTCTAATGAACATGCTGCAGGTTAGTGCCATGTTTATTTATTCCCGTGAAGAAATTGTTGGAATTTCTTTTTTTTGTTTTTCTGTTAAGAAATAATTCTTGAGGAGAAATGTCCAGGATATCACACTTTTTTTATGTCCTAATTGGTAACATCAGTTTTTTTTCTTCTTCTGAATATGTAACTATCTGCTAATGAGATTTGTCACTGCTTGCTATGCTTTCTGAGATTATATTGTCATGTGTTATGTTTGTCTTAGTGATGTGCTGCTAGGCATCTTTTGGTGTCAGCAATTTCATGTTGTCTTCTAAAAGAAAGTAGTGCTACGATATTACACAGTAGCCCAAATAAAGTGAGCTTACATTATTTAGAACAAAACATTATGTTGGCTTTAGAAGGGATGTTAGTAGGTAGTAGCTTTGATGTCTATGTAATGTTGTACATTGCTAAAGTCTACAAAAAAGTACTTTATTGATGGTTTATCACCGTTTCTTAGTTTGGGTTTGAAACAGAAAATTTCCTGCTTTGTTTTGTTGTACATGAACCTTTTTTCCAGTAATTCACAAATGTGATCCGTTGTGATGTACTGATGTATGCCATCTCTGAGGACATGGTTTTTAGTTAATTGGGTGTCTGTGGGCTAACTACCTAATATCACTTCTTTTTTTAATACAATTTTCAGGATTTCATGGGAGGATCTCATGACAGTATGGTTACTTTAGAGAACCGAGTGCGTGGTCTTGAGAGAGTTGTTGAGGAAATGGCCAGGGATATATCACTATCATCAGGCAGGAGAGGTGGTGGCCCCATGCTGGGCTTTGATTCATCTCCTGGTAGATCATCTATGAAATACAATGGTTTTCATGAATATTCTAATTCAAAATTTGGGAGGGATCGTGATGGACGGGTGGGATTTGCAGAAAGGTACTTTTCTGGAGATGGTATGTCTTCTGGTGTAAGAAGCTCTGAACCATGGGACTCGTATGCTTATTCTGGATCAAGAAGTGGTATGAATGCCAGGAGAGGGTTGGACTCTGTTTCATCTGATAACAGGGTGCCTAGAAATGAACGAAGCAATGATCAAGCAGGACCTAGGCGAGGATGGGACAAAGGACAGGGTCCATTTAGGTTTGGGGAGGGTCCTTCTGCTCGAAGTGCATGGCGAGCCTCCAAAGATGAAGCGACACTGGAAGCTATTAGGGTTGCTGGTGAAGATAATGGAACTTCTAGGGCAGCTGCGAGAGTTGCTATCCGTGAATTGGATGGGGAAACTTTGAATGATGATAATCAAGGGGATGAAAGAGGACCAATTTGGGAGTCTTGGACTCGTGCAATGGATGCGATACATGTTGGTGATATGGATTCGGCTTATGCTGAGGTTCTTTCAACTGGGGATGCTGAATTACTTGTAAAATTAATGGAGCAAACTGGACCAGTAGTTGATCAACTTTCAAATGAAGTTGCAAACGAAGTCCTACATGCTGTTGGACAATTTCTTGTGGAAGAAAGCTTCTATGATATAGCTTTGAGCTGGCTTCAGCAGGTAAAGTAGTATGTTCCATTGTAGGAATATAAAAGTTCTGAAGAGACAGGTGTTTACTCTGACAACAATATCATGGAAAATGTTAACCTGTGTTCAGACTAAAACTGGTGTTGATATAATAAAAATGACATTCTGTGTTAAAAGAGTAGAATGCTCTAAATTGCTTAGGAATGGATTTAAACATATTTTGACAGTTGCATGCTATTTTAGCACTACTGCTCTGGTTCCCCTTCCTGGTTCAAAGCCAGCCATTCATGATACATATGATTAGCATTGCATTTGCAAATAGGATTATCTGTAGCATGTGATGGTGATCGGAAGTTTTGTAAGGCTGAAAACATCTGATACTGATACCGGGTGTTTCTTCAATTTCCAATTTCTGCTTAGTATACTCGCCAGTTTTCAGACAGTGTTTGTGTCTATAGTTTTACACATTCCTTGCATTATCATTTGGCTCCACTCTTGATTTGTGAGTTCAATTTGGTTTCGTCCCTTATAATTCAGCAAACAAAAAAGAGCTTTGAAAGGTTTTGAGTTATTAAAGAATGCTATTTTCTTTAGTAACAAGAATGGAGAAACAAGGAATGGCAACCACAATAAATTAATTTTTCATTAGCTATATGCTTATCCAATTGAAGTAACTGAAGCACTCTTAAGATGTCTTGGTAAAAAAGTCCATTTGGATGGAGACTAGAATTTTGACTGATTTACGCTTGGTCCTTTGCCCTCTCAAACAGAATCCTGGCTTTTCATTTGGTCTAGAATGAAGGCCTCTCACTTTTACTGGATTGCTACAAGGTTGAAGAAAAAATGATTGTGAAGTATGTGAAGGATATTTGATGCTATCTTCAATGATCAAATGGCCTTCTGTTTGTTGGATAGTTGTTTATGTTCTTTGTTTGCTCAACAATACCAATAATAATTAAGGTTCTGTCTGGACAGCAGGTATGCACTGGCATGCTTGTGAAACTAAACAGTTGCTTCAATATTGAAAACCAATGCAATACTGTCATGGTGCAACTTATGTTATGTCCAGACATACAGAATAAGTTAGTAAGTTGTCAGATGATGGTTATAAACTATAGACTTTTGAATATAGGAGTTATGTTGCTCTAACAAAAAGTTTGAAAGAACGCGTAGCTGTCTTTTTTCTTTTTTTGGAAGTTAGAAAGGGAGGTAGACTTCTTTTATTGAACAGAATATGATGTACTCTCCGTGCTCCAGTTGTTTGTATAGAGATGTTAAAACCTTTGTTTGGTCCATGCATTTATTGTTTTGTTTTTGGGGATAGGAAAGGAGTATTACTTTGAAGTACATACCCAAGTGCTGAATATCTTGATTGTTGTTGCAGTTGACTGATCTGGTAATGGACAACGGATCCGGTTATCTTGGAATCCCCCTAGATGCGAAGAACGACCTCTTACTGGGATTACACGAAGCTACTGCCATTGAGTTGCCTGATGATTGGGAGGGGGCGACGCCGGTTCAGATAATGAAGCAGCTAGCTTCATCATGGCGGATTGATCTGCAGCAGCTTATCAGTTAGGGCCATCGGTTGTTGACATGAGTTAATTTCATTTGTTCATTTCTGCCTATTTTTTCTCTATATATCTTGCTATTAGGGCTATAAGTATTAGGTTTGACAGAACCTTTGAGTGGAACTGTGTTGACATGGATTGGTGTTGTACGGGGAAATATGATGTTGATATTGTTTACCTCATAACCTGTGTTGGCTTTCCTATTTATAATTTGGAGGATCTCAATTTTTACATTTTTTACTGGCTCAATTTATAGTTTTATTATGCATCTTGAACTCTTAAGACACCGGTTGGGCTGATAAACCTAACGCACAATGAACAGACAAAATTGTAATTTGGACATGAATAGATTGTACATTGCTTTTGTTCTTTCACCTAAAGGACAGAGGCTGGCAGGCAGCAGGAGATTAAAGATATCCTGTCGAGCTTAATGCAGGCCGACAATAATTTGTTAGGGAAGACAAAACTTATCCCAGATGATGGTTGCAGACAGAGATAGCCATTGATCAATTTGAAGATGGATTGATATGGAAATCTTAAAGCACGAGGTATTAATTTCATGCTACAGTCAAAATATTTTCCAGGGTTAATTTCCTGCTGCAGTTCAATCTTTTTAGTGTTCTCAACCCTCAGGTAATCTACTGCTGCGCGTGGTGAATCTGCGCTTTGTTATGGCTGATTGTGATATCGACTCGAAACGATGTGGTCAGCATGGAAGCGTTTTGCTGAATCTGAAAAACTGATGTGGATGATGTTGAACAGCGAGCCTCAAGCTACCGTGGTCCGTGGTTATCAAAATTCTCCCTTCTTGGAAATTGTTGATGAACAGCAAGTCTAACAAGATAGAGAATTACTACTATATTTATCATTCAGGAGTTGAACTCGTCGCAGCGGAGAGGAGCAATGTGGTCGAGCTCGACGGGGAGCCCGTTGGCCGGCGACGGCAGCGGGTCCCTGACGAAGGTGTTCTCCTCCCCCCCGCAGCAGAGCCTCCACCTGAAGTGCCTCACCAGGTAGTGCATCGTCACCAGCGTCTCCACCCTCGCGAGCTCCATCCCGGGGCAGATCCTCGGCCCGCCGCCGAACGCCACGAACGAGTACGGCGGCGGCGCCGACGCCGCCGCCTGGGCGTCGAACCGCGACGGGTCGAACTTGTCCGGGTCGTGGTAGATGGCCGGGTCCATGTGCGTCACGCACGGCGCCCAGAACACCTGCCACCCTTTCGGGATGACGTAGCCGCCGTCGAGCTCGACGTCCTCGAGGGCCCTCCTGAAGCTGCCGAACACCGGGGGCACCATGCGGAGCGTCTCCTGCGCGACGCGCCATGTCAGCTTCATCCTCGCCACGTCCTCCCATGTCAGCGCCTCGCCGTCTCGCTTGCTCCTCGCGATCTCCTCGTGCTCTGGCCATGGCGTTGTCAGAGGGATTCGATCTTGGCAAATGGAAATGGTGATGTGATGTGTGAGTTACTTGCCTTGGACCATGGCGGCGAGGATGGCAGGGTCGTCGGCGAGGTGGCGGACCATGAAGGTCAAGAGGATGGCGGAGGTGTCGTGGCCGGCGGTGAGGCAGACGATGGAGTTGTCGATGATCTCCTCCTCGGTGAGCAGCGGCCGGCCGCCGCCGCCGTCGCCGTCTCGGAGGCTGACGAGGTAGCTGATGAGGTCGTCCGATGGAGACGACTCGCCCTGCTCCAGGTTGGCCTTCTTCTCCCTCACCGTCGCCGCGAGCAGCCGGCGAGCCCTCGCGCTCGCCCTGAGGCTCCGGCGGAACGCGGTGAACGGCAGGTCGAGCGGCACCGCCCACAGGCCCTCCAGCATGTCGGCGAACGCGGCGGCGAGCCGCTCCCGGACGGCGCCGCGCGCGAGCCCGAACAGCAGGGTGGCGATGACGTCGAGCGTCAGCAGCTTCATCAGCGGCAGCACCGCGACGGTGCGGCGCCCGGCCCACCGCCCGGCGAGGTGGCGCCTGACCTCGCCGTCGATCCTGCCCACGTACCGCCGCAGCATCTCCGGCCTCAGGAACTGCGCCAGCGCGCCGCGCACGCGGCGGTGGTCGTCGCCGACGAGCTCCAGCATGTTCCTCCTCCCGATGATCGCCGCGAGGCTCCGCGGCTGCTTGGGCGCCAGCGCCTCGCTGAGGAACACCGCCTTGTTCGCCGCCGGGCCGGCGAGGAGCACCGTCGGCGCGCCGAACAGCGACAGCTTCGACACGGGCCCGTACCTGTCGATCCTGCCCTGCAGCCACCGCTCGGCGGTGTTGCGACGCATGGCACGCAGCAGGGACAGGCTCTGGCCGACCAGCGGCAGGCCGAGGGATCCCGGCGGCAGGTTGCGCCGCGGCGGCGGCTTCGTCCTCGTCGATCTTCCGGCCAGGTAGACGGCCAGCGGCGTGAGGAAGGCGACGAGGAGCGCGACGACGACGACGGCGAGTGCCATTGCAGCGATGGCTAACTGGGACGATGAGTGTGAAAGGGTTTATGTGTTGAGACTTGAGAGAGACCGACAGAATGGCATCCGCATACTTCTTTCGTAACGGGGTGACAGGAATCTGATTTAAGCCGCTTTCATATGTAATTAACAACTATGTCAAAGTAGAATTGTTTGCAGTTTTTTTATTTGACATTCATATTTTAGCAGCTGGACCCAAGCTAATAGGAACCGTGTTACGACGTCCCATTGGCATGGTGGGAGATGCTAGCCAAAAAAAAAAAAGATGCGCCTAAGAAATGCTTGCGTACCTTGATCCTACTGGTTATTTGGGAGATCTGGAATGGAGAGAACTTCAAACAAAAGAAGACTTCGGCCCCTGGCCCTAGGTTGTTCAACAAAATAATGGAAGAAACATGAACTTGGACCCTAGCTGGTGTTAAAAAGCTAGTGAGTTTCATCTCTGTACAACTTTACTTTTTTCTAACCCTAGGGGTTGTATTTTTCTCCCATTTTATTTAATGATAGCACAGTCTCGTGCTGATTCCAATCAAATTTTACCTTAAAAAAGACAAAATTTGCTACAGGACATAAAAAAAATGTGTAATTAGCTAAGGGACACCACAAGATCGTGAAACGACTGAGAAACACTTAAAAAAATGTGTAATTTGTTGTTAGACACTTTCATCATTATTTTATCATTTTTGGGCTAGATGGAAAGAGAAACAATTCAAAAGGACCAGATTGCTCTTGGGGCTAGATTATTTGTAGCGTCGGTGTCGTCGTCATCGATGCGCGTCGCTGCGTGTCGTTGCCACCACGGTTGATGCGCATTGCTGCCGCAGCTAATGCACGCCACTCTCTGCGCGCCCGATGCGTGTCGCCACCGCCACCAAGACACGCCATAGCAGATGTGCGCCGCAGGCCCGCAACCATAATCGATGTGGTGAGAGGAGAGGAGCTGAGAGGAGACGAGTGTGAATGCGTGATGCGGCGTAAATGTTTTGGGATGCGGCGTCGAAGAGGAGAGGAAGTGGGATTAGGGTAGATTGCCTATTGGGTTGTGATGGGCTGGGAGACCTGGGCTAGGAAAAGCTATGTGTGAGGCTAGGCCACACGAGTAGGGCTGGGCCACGAGTGGTTAGGAAAATCTAAAAAAATTATAAGTACTAGTCAACTAATTTTTTTCTCACGAGTAGGGCTCAGGCCCAAGCTGCCCTAGACCCAGTTCCGCCCTAACTCCCTCATCGTTTCTTTTATTAAAAATACATCATATTATTAAAGCATTTTGCATCCTAAATACAACTATATTACTTAGACTAACCAAAACATAAAAGTTTTTATTGGTGAAAGATAAAGTTGTAGGGGTCAAGTGTCAAATTATAAGAGTGCGTGCTTGGTCTGTCACGTTCACGTCACACGTGGGTGTACAATTCATCTAATCACTTCTCTACTATTATAAAAGATGTTTTTGCCAGTCCTTTGGTACATCATCTGTGTTTGAGTCAGTTTTTAAGTCCATTCGCTTTACATATCCGTATTTGATTCGGTTTTTTTAAGATCGTTCGCTTTTAGAAATACAAAAAAAGTTTTATAAGAAATATCTTTAAACAAACTTGCATGATAATTTGAGACGATCAGACTCCTAATTGCAGCTTATGATTTTGTAAAAAAAATTTCTTTCACTCGTTGCAACCCACGAATATTTTTTTTTCTAGTAATAAAGATTCGGTCGTACGCAGAAAACAAGTTTTTAATAGTGATGGGTTGGGAAGGGAGAGCCGCAGATCGAGTCCTGTCTCTCTCAGCCAACACCGATTTCTACTTCACGTGGGCTGTGCCCGAGCTTATTGGGAGAGTACTTTGTTTAAAGGGACACGTTTTTCAAACCATTAAAGGATGTGTCCTTTAAAAAATTGAAATAAAGTCATTTCTAAAATTAGAATAACTGATCATACGCAAATCACCAATCTCTTCCTCGTTTTTGTCTGTGGTTTACAAATTCCCTCTGTTTCGACTGAAGCCTAATTCTTGTTTCATGCTAAAAAAATTAAGAGAAAATTGAGAGAGGTGAGGATATTGTTTGTGAAAAAAAAGTCAAATTTTGCTATAGGACATGCAAAAAAAACGTGTAATTGGCCATAGGACACCGGTTGTATTTATTATTTATGGATCAAAATAGGTGAGATATTTTTCTAAATACCCGGATTGCCCCTTATCTTTCCTTCTTTTCCATCTACCATCCGCCCCTCGCTGGCCACCGGGGCGCCGCCGCCTAGACACCCCGCACCGTGCCGCATGGCCGCCTTGTGCCAGGCACCGCCTGTCCATTGCCGCACCATCTGGCTGTTGTGCCGTGCCACCACCTGGCCGCCCCGCGCTGCGCCGCCTGGCTGCTGAGCCGTGCCGCCGCCTGGCCTCCCTGTACGGTGCCGCTACCTGGCAACCACCTAGCCGCTGTGCCGCACCGTCGCCTAGACGGCCCGCACTGTGCATCGGCGCCTCCCCGCCTGCGCTTGGTACCTCTGCCCGGCCGAGCTCCTCCTCCGCTCGGCCTCGCCCCGCCGCACCAGCATTGCCGCTGTGCCGTTCCCGGCAAAGTCAATGGAAAGGGGAAAATAAGGAAAGAGAAGGAGAAAAAGAAGGAAAGAGAAGGGGCAATCCGGGTATTTAGAAAAATATCTCACCTATTTGGCCTGGAAATAATAAAATAATACAACCTATGTCCTACGGCCAATTATACGTTTTTTTAAGTGTCCATCAGCCGTGTCACGTTTTTGCGGTCTCCCAGCCAATTACACTTTTTTACGTGTCCTATAGCAAATTTTGCCAAAAAAAAGCATGCTTGTCTGTTCAAGAAAGTGGACAAAAGAGGAGGAAAAAAGAACTGATTGAGCAGCTATTGATGGAAACTGATAGAAAGGAAAGTCAGCTGAGAAGGATGTATTTGAGCAAGAATGGAGGAAGAGATATAAATTAGAGGATAAAATGGAGGTCTATGAACAAGAGGAGAGATTTTGGTAGAGGGATGTGGAGAACAATGTATCTTGAAGGGCGATTCTAATTCTAATAACTCATTTTTCATGGATTGGAAAATAGGGGAAGGAAGAGTCACATTTTCTCACTACAAAAGGGTTATAAGCTACTAACAGAATCCCAGAGCATACAGGACACCTATGGGTACTATGGCCTTATTTGGCAAATTGGCAGGGAGAAGAGACTGCAAATGCACTTGAAAGAGGGAGTGTGGGCTAATGGAGGGGGTTTGACAGAGGAGGATGCTAAGTTTACTACAAACTTGACAACAGTAGAGCTATAAGTGCAGATAAACTAACTAGCTAACTGATTTACCTAATGGCACACGTAGACCCTTTTTTAATAAAACCAAAAGAAAAGGAATGCCTTCAGCATCTGTTCTTATGATGACACTATAACATTGTAGGCCATTCCACATTTCTCTACACAATGATCATAAGTCACTGCATTTCTGAATAACTTTACCACAACCTTCATACCTGCAACACTCTGACACCTCAATTAAACTGGAGAAAACATAAACTGAAACGCATGGTAATATACAGAAACATGTGGATCCTTTTAAGCATGAGCATATTCAGGGGGGCTTCTGGTCTCAAGTTCAATTGGGAGTCCAAGAACAGGTATCGGAACAGGATCTTTCCTGTAACCTTCTTCTTCGCAGCACAATTTCCACCTGAACTGCCTCACTAGTTAGTGCATGGTTACCAATATCTCGGTCCTCGCAAACTCGTTTCCAGGGCACATTCTTGGGCCTCCCCCAAATGGCACGAAGCAATAAGGTGGGATTGAAGTGTGGTTGTCAAATCTAGTAGGGTCAAACTTGACCGGGTCATTGAAAAAATTTCCATCCAAATGTGTGATACGTTGAGCAGTGAAGACCTAGCATCGCAAGATGTATGTGAGAGTAATAAAAAGAAATTTAGGAGTTGGGTACATTGTTCAGATCGAAACATCACTGCGACACTAACGGCATAATTGGAATGGAAAAGATATCCAATCGAAAAATAAATTGGTTAATATAAAAATACTTACTTGCCAGCCTTTCGGAATGTGATAGCCATGGTATTCGATGTCTTTGACAGCTGTTCGGAAGCTTCCAAATATTGGGGGAACAGTCCGCAGCGTCTCCAATGCCACCTTCCATGTGTACTTCATCCTTGAGACATCATCCCAGGTTAAAGGTTCATTAGGCCCTTTCCTCCTAGCTATCTCCTCTTGTTCTGTGGTTCATGATAGGTGCAAATGATACCGTGCTACTCAGAAGATTAAAACACCAAAATATAGGCACACGATACAATATAGAGTACTAGGTGCTCACCCTCGGTTATCTTGCCAAGGATGTCTGGATCATTAGCTAGGTACCGGAGCAAGAAGGTGATAAGAACAGCCGAATTCCCATAACCGGCAGTCAGGAGTACGATTGCATTGTCCACAATGTCCTCCACTGTGAGCGAGTGTGTGCCTTCAGAGCGCAAAACAAGCATGTATGTGAAGAAATCATCAGCTGAACTGGAATGGCCTTGCTGCAATGCTGCTTCCCTTTCGCGAGCAATTTGCCTGAGGACCTTCCTGATCCTCCGGCTCGCTCTCAGGCCCTTGATGAACTTGGTGAAGGGTATATTCACTGGCAGAGATAGCAAAGCCTGCACAAGTGTCTCAAAGTCGGTGGCAAGGGCTTCTCTGATGGGACCTATCCCTTGTCCAAAGACGACTGAGCAGATGATGTCAAAGGTGAGCCTCTTCGCCAAGGGTGCAGCCTATAATCACCAAAGTAGCTCACAAACATGTCCATACTACAAAAAGTTGTTTTTACTATACATAAAGGTCTAACAATTCAAACAACAGTAACACAATGTTCATACCTTGACAGTTTTATGACCAACCCAGTTCAGGTCAATGTGCCTCCTGACCTCCTCATCCATCTTACGCATATACTTCGTCACCATCTCTAGCCTCAGATAGCCCTGTAGAGCACTGCGGACTCGCTTTAGCTCCTCACCTGAGAGTGTCAGAATGGACCGCCCAAGGATGGTGTTGATCGCCTTTGTCTGGGTGAAAATGAGGTCCTGGTTGCTGAATACAAAGTGATTGGCCGCCGGGCCAGCCATAAGCACTGTTGGTGAGCCAAAAAGTGACATCTTGAACACAGGACCATACTTCTTGATCCTGTCCTGGTACCACTGGTAATCAGTATTACTGCGGAGGGCACGAAGAAGGGAGATGCTCTGGCCAATCAATGGGAAGCCAAGAGAACCTGGAGGGAGATTATAGGATGAGTACTTGCGCCTGATGACAAAGCGGAGGAGGGTGGGTATGAGCAAGGCAAGCAGCAGAGCAAAAGGCATGGAGGAATCCATTGATGGAGTATGTTGTTATGCACTATGAAGGTTGGCTGATCAGCTTGTGGATTTGTCTACATGTATGTATATAGGCAAACCAGAGTTGTTTTCTTTCTGCATGATAGACAAGGGAGTATGATTGAACAAATTTGATATTTTCTTTAGAACTCAATAAATGGCCTAGTTGGCAAAGCTGAATATATCACTTTCTCAAAAGTCATACAACAAACAAGCAAAGATTACAAATTGAGATAAGGGAACAACCCCTCATTGTCACCAGAGTAATGAGTCTGATTCATGATAACTTACAATATTAGTTTATAAGTAAACAATTCTATCACCCCACATGATAGGAGCAGCTTAGCACGACATAGGTGAATTACTGGAAATAAATGGAAGCCAGCTCAAAGAATCACATTTATGCTAGCCAATAGAATTTCTGGATTTATGCTAGTCAAATAATTGCATTTCCTCCTCAAATGAAAGACACAAAAACGAATTCCCTAAAAAAACTAAAAAGGGAAGTACATAGACAAGCAAATAATGAGAAGAACTGATTCCTTTGGATCTAATATTAGCTCGAGGAAAGATGCTACATACAACAGAATTAAATTTTGCAAAGCAAGCAAAGCAAACCATTGAAAAGATCTGGTTACAACAATTTGGTCATCCCTAACGAAACGATCCATGTCCTATCCTATGTAATAAGAAATTTTGAACAATATTCTAGATTTAATTCTTCTGCATAACTGCAGGACTCTCAATCGACAAGTATAGTTTTAGCCTTGGCACAGGCCATGTATGCAGGAAACATCCTTTTTTTTTGGCATATTATTATGCAGAATATCTGCCAAGAAAAACAGGTAGACATTTCAAAAATTAGAAGCAAATTACATACTTAGTGGTCAGAAAAGGTTAACTCCAGTTCTATATATGTGCCTGTGCACAAAATGACACATTTACTGTAGCCGCAATTCTTCTGAAAATGGCATGGCCCTGCAATATAGATTACAGAACAGTACTTAAGAAATAAGCAGATGATTCCTCCCAAATATAGCATGGCCGTTTATTTAATAACGTTGGCAAAATCAATGCATTATCAGGATATACACGACAATGACCTCGAGGGCAACTTAGATCCTAAAAAACTGGGCAAAAAGGGAAAGGAAAACGACAGGTCGGATAACATATTCTGAAAATCCACTATGGTCAACTTCCAAGAACAAAAAAAATGTATACAGACAGATAGACTTCGAAGGGATAGACTCTATCCAATATAGATTTGGAGATCACATCACGAATGCAGATTTGATTTAATAATATAGTTTGTCCACCGATCGAAATCGGCAATAATCAGGCCAGGAGATCATTATTCTCCTATACCGACTTTAGGCAGTGATCATTTTACACTAATCCACACCACCAGACCTGACTGAAACCCACCCAAATTCCATCTGTGCCATCACAGATTCACAGCTCGTTCAGCCCCCCATCAACAAATCGAACAACATCTCACCAATCAATTGCAAAGCTAGAAATCAAGAATCCCAGGACACCTAAGAGCTAGTGACCAAACCTCTTAGCGCGCTGCCTGCTTGTTGGGGGGCGTCTTGCAAGTAGGATGCAGGAGGGGAAGCTTGCCCACTGGCGCACCGCCACCGGCCGACGGTGCGCGCCGCCGACGGGGAGCCCCGCGCAAAGCTGCGCAGCTGACGGCTGCCGAATGCGGAAGATCGAGCCGGAGAATGTGGGAGACCAGCCTAGGCCCATGCCCGGATGACCAGCCTTCCAGCCCAACCTCCTTAGAGCAGGAACAATAGCAGGCTAATGCTATTAGCCAACTATAAATATATTTTAATGAGACAATAGCAGGCTATTAGCTAGCTAGAAATATATTTTAATGAGATAAAAGATGTGAGAGAAAAGCAGTGAGCTACAGATTTACAGATTTATAGCTAGCTGTAGCACGGACTCCAATACACAATGTGTGTATGACAGGTGGGACCATATATTAATAGTATAGTAAGCAACTATTATATGAGTTGACTATTAGATTGGTTATAGTTGAATTGGAGCTAGTTGTGGGCTATACTATTAAACTTGCTCTTAGGGCATCCACATTGTAAGCCACGGGTAAGAGTGGTCTCATGTGGGCCATACTACCTAAGGCTACACATAAAGCAACTCTACCCCCAATGGAAGATAATCTCAAATGGATTCTTAAAATCTGAGGGTACTGTGTAAAGATACTACAACCCACAATGCATGCCCTAATCCACAAATCCACAGGAGTTGTTTTCCTCTTCTACCCTTTTTTATATTTTCTTCGGCCACAGCACAGTGCTACTACTTCCTCCTCTTTCTCGTCACCACTCACCCCACCGACGCCCCCTCCGACTCCGTCCCGGTGTGCCCTCTTGTACGTCGCCGCTGGTGGCCGACGGCGAGCGGAGCGCGGGGTGGCCGACAGCGAGCGAGCTACCGCCGCTCTCTCTCCCTCTCTCTTTCAATGTGCGGGGCAACCGACGATAGCGCAAGTGTCGAAGGGACGCGGGGCAGCCGACGACGGCGGCAGTGTGGAAGGCGAGGACCGCAAGGAGCACAAGCAGGAGGAGGACGCGGCGGAGCTCCTCTTCCTCAAGTCGTCGCCGCCTCTCTCTCTCTCCCTCCGCCCGCCGCTGCCGGATTCGGTGGGCAGCGCGAGTTCCTACCGCGCCGCCGCCACCGGATCTGGTGGGAAGCGCGAGCTCCCACCTCGTCGCCGCCACCGGATCTGGTGGGAAGCGTGTCGCCGTCCCGCCACCGCCGGCTCCTCCACCTCTCCACCGACGGCTGGCGCCTGTTTCACTCCCTTCTTTGTCCCAGGTCGTCGCCGTCACGCCATCGTTGGCTCCTCCACCACCTCTCCGCCTCCGAATCCTTTCCACCGTCGGCCAAGGGTGAAAGGGGAACTTTTGTTGCGGGAGCCGTGTCCACAAGACACGACACCACCCAACGCGAGGCCTAGCTCAGTGGCTTTGGCTGAGGAGCAGGGGGGACACGTCCCTCGGAGAGGAGTCGTGCCCCTCTGCTGGGAGACGGCTTTGGTCGGAAAAGTGACAGACGTTAGACGGTGTGAGCAGGGGCACTCTCTAGGGACACCCATTGCTGATGGCCTTAGGGCGTCCACAATGTGAGCCACTAGTGTCCTCACTAACTAAGGACCCTCGTAGGGGAACTAAGCTCGCACTGGTGGACACCCCTGTATGGGCTATACTAGATGAAGGTACTCAAACCCACAATAGGTGTCCCAAAAAAAAACCCACGGTGGGTGTTTTCCTATACTACCCCTCTCTTCTCCCCCCCTCTCTCTCTCCTCTTTTTTCTCCACCTCATTCCCCTCCTCTTCTTTTTTTCTTCGCTCTCTCCGCCGGGTTTCACTCCTTTCGCTCGGCGGCGTCGCTGTCCTCCCCCTCCCTCTCCCTTTCTCTCCCACGAGCGCTGGCGCCACCTTCCTCCTCGCCCTCCCCAGCTACCGCCGCCGCCGCTTTCTCCTCTCTCTTTCTCTCGCCGCCGCTACTTGCCTCTCTCTTACTGCCGCGCGGAGGAGGCCAAGGCAGAGGAGGTCGCGACGACGGCGACCACCACCACGACGTCGTCCTCGTGCTCCTCGGTGGCGAGCACGGGCGCCTCAAGTGGTGGCTACGGCGGCACCGCCGCAGATCCGTCGTCACCGTCGCCTCTCTCTTCTCTCTCTCTCGCCTGCGCCTCTCTCTCTCTCTCGCCGCCACCTCGGGTTCCTCCCCACCGCCGTCGGTCTTTTCCTAGCGACGAGGTCGAGGGTAGAAGGGGAATTCACAGGTGTGGTAGCCGTATCCACGAGCGCCCCAAGCCCCCAATGTGTCACCTGGCAGCGACTCCCCATGAAAAGTTGGCGAGGTGCGGAGAGAGCTGCATCCCCTAGCAGAGGGACGCGTTCTATCGCGGGGGAACGGCGCGGACGGAAAAGCGAATGGCCATCGCTAGGGGTACGACCTGGGGATACCGATTGTAGATGGCCTTATGGCATGTCTATAGTTACGAGACAAAACTTTTCACGTTGTCACATCGAATGTTTGGCACATGCATGAAACATTAAATAAAAAAAACTAATTACACAGTTCACCATGAAATTGCGAGACGAATCTTTTAAGTCTAATTGCGTCATGATTTGATAATGTGGTGCTACAGTAAACATTTGCTAACGACAGATTAATTAGGCTTAATAAATTCATCTCACAGTTTCCTGACGGAATCTGTAATTTGTTTTGTTATTAGACCACATTTAATACTTAAATGTGTATCCGTATATCTGATGTCATATGCAGAGTCAAATTTTTTTTCCAACTAAACATGCCCTTAGAAGGCCGGTTTTATGTCCAAAACTGATGGAAATTAACTCTCCTCATAAATATGCTACAGTATCAAACTTTTTAACTTTGACCATGGTTTTTAAAGTAAATTTTATAAAACTCCATCTAGTATAGTCTAGGCACAAAAACACATGAATTTTGGCACATAACACATATCCTCGCGTATTATGGTCATAAAGTTTCACAAAATCACACCATTAACCATTTTGACATATTCCTATATCAAAATTTGACTCTCTCAAATATAACTTCAATCTAATTCATATCCTGAATCGCTATGCCAGATATCTTGATCCTCAACAATTAAGGCCAGTGTTATTTGATTCCCTCAGCAATTTTGGAGGTTTGTTTACGTTGACGTGGCGCTTTACTTGGTCTAACCTGCTGAGTCATCCTGTAGGTCCTACCCGTCAGTGACCCTTATATTTGTTCTCTTCCTTCCGCCTCTTCTCCGCTACCACTGCGTGGCCAATTTCACCAAGCTCATCCATGGCGCCCACGATTGAATGCAAGAGAGGTAGGGGAAGAGAAGAGAATAGAATATGACTAAAAGCTTCTTGGCCTGCTCGAGGGCATAGTGTGGTCGAAGTGGAAGAGATCAAAGATGATGTTGGTGTAGACGTGGATAGGACGGTCGGGGTGCTCCGTCTCTGACAGTGACAGTGTTGGTATTTCTTAATGACATTACTAGAAATATAATTCCCAGCAATGGTGCAGAAATACTTCTGGTATATTATGGTTACAGAGTTCATCCGTAAGCGCACGGATATACCATTGTAGTATTTCACCCGAGAGTATTCCAATGATATCGTATTTGTTTAATCTCGTGGGAAGATTATAATAGAGAGAACCGTACTAATAATTTATATATTACTTGCAACAATCAAAGTCTAAGCAGGGGTTAATATAATTCAAGAGTAGAGTGACACTAAGCAGAAACATTCATACACTCATTCATAATTATCTAAATTAAGTGGAAAGAATATAGAAAGATCTATTCATATACTTCTAGTATACAGGCATATTATACATACATCCTAGTTATATCATTACTTAGCTAATACCCTCTTTCTGATGCCCTCCTGGTGCTTCGAGAAGCCACCCATGATTGCCGAGTTCCTTACGACAATCCGTCATGACCATCCAACCGGGACTAAATATGGAGAAGTACCATCCCCAGGAAATTAACTTAGGACTATATACACGCGCGAAAGAATACCCGTACTGAGCTGTCACCATCAGCGACCCACCTCGCTTCCGCAACATATAATCTCAAATAATGATATCCAGTAATCTAAACACCACGCTTAAATTACGAAATACTACTCTAATGTCATCGTCATGACATAGAGTCATCGTAAATACGATCACTATACCCACACCATTGCATCTCCCAGATAAGCTAGCATCATAATAAATATAACTTGGACATATAATAAAGTTGGTATTCATAAACTCGAAAAATAGTACAATACCAAAGTAGTAAAAAGAAGAATATTCTAAATAAAGTACAAGTCTTACAAAAGAAGGAAAAGCTACTAAAGCCATACCACCATCCCCTCCTCACCGCCGCGGCGGCGGGGGTGGCTCTGCTGCCTCGGGCACCGCCGCCCTGCGCGGATCCGGCACCAAGGGCGGCGGGGGCGGCCGATCCGGTGCCTGCCATCCCCTCCTCACCGCCACACCCCCCTCCTCACCGCCCCTCCTCCCCTCTTCACTGCCGCGGCGGCGGGGGCGGCTCTGCTGCCTTGGGTGGCCCCGCCCTGCGCGAATTCGACGCCAAGGGCGGCGGGGGCGGCCGATCCGGTGCCGCTGACGACGGCGGGCGGCGAGGGCGACGGATCCAGTGCCAGCGATGACGGCGGGTGGCAGGGACGACGGATCGCGGTGGCGGGCTAGGGTTTGGGATTTTTTTTATTTTTATTTTTTGTTTGCTAAATTTATTTTTGCATGCGGCCGGTATAAGCAACCGCATACGAAAATGGGATTTTTGCATGTGGTTGCACCGGCCGCATGTGAAAAGCTTGATTTTTGCAGACCTTCTCGCCCTTACGTTTGGGGCAATCGTATGCAAAGATGCCCTTCGCCCGCATGCAAAAAGCCTTTCTGTAGTAGTACCGGGTGGTCTGACCAAGTAGCCTGACGGTCAAACCGACAAACTCTAGGAGGGAATCAGTTTCGGGTTGTTTTCATGGATTTTCTAGATTGCTTCATGCTTATGACTTATAGATGGCTTCTATACATATGTGATATTGTTTTGTGTGCTGATTTGAGTCAAGTTGGTGCAAACTTATACTCGGATATGAAGTTTCTTTGTTGTTCATGTGTAGGTGTTGCTTGAGGTTATGGGAGTTTAGCTGGTAATGGTTCGGGACTAGGCTTGGTAGAATTTGAGATCCAGACA